TGTATTGGTTGCACAAATGTCAAAGGTTGTATAATAACCAACATCTCTCTCTCTCTCTCTCTCTCTCTCTCTCTATATATATATATATATATATATATATATATATATATATATATATGGGCAAAGGATCATGTGGGTTTAGGGTGAAGTCCATATTTACGATTCTCACCACAACTTCTTTGTTCACATGATCATTCCCATATGTACCTATAGTAGCTTAATCATTTGAGAAATCCAAAATTTTCAGTTCCGTGAGAATTTATACTTTAAAATTTTCTTTCACATGATCTATTCCGTTAAATATAGTATTTAATGTATTTATTAAACGTATTTTACTTCACATAATTTTTTTCGTCCAAATATAGTATTTATTAACATAAATTTGTTTCACAATGTGTTTGTTTCATATGTATTAGGTTCACAATGTGAAATTTTTTAGGTGTATTCTTTGTTTCACAAACACGTAAAAAGTGTTTACACTGTGAACCGCGAGTACATGTGAAACAAATATATGTTAATCAACATTCTAAATCTTAGTCTTAGATGGGGAAAAAATCATATGAAATAACACATGATGCACAAGTTGTTAAAGTTATATATATGTATATATATATATGTGTGTGTGTGTGTATATATATATATAGAGAGAGAGAGAGAGAGAGGCAGTTTCATTTACAAATTCAACCATTAGTATCGACCAATCTCACCCATTATTTAGGCCTTGTTTGTTTTTTTAAGAGAAAATACTTATTAGTCTTTTATGTCTAATATAGTTAAGAGGTAAGACTGTTCAGACTGTTTGTTTTTTTCAATTTTTCAAAGACACTTATGTTTTGTTCATCTTTTATCTGATAAGAGGTAACATAACCTCTTATTTGCCTCTTATTCTTCTCCAAACTCTTAGCAACTGTGTTTCTTAATCGATTAAACTTGATCGATTATTTCCCTCAATCAATCCTTACCAAATCGATCCTCACATGTCTCAATTGATACATTTTAATAGGATTTAAATATATTAAATATCGTTAATGACATGTTTTTTCATTTAAATGAATGCTAATTATATAACTTAGATGTAAATTACGTAATGATGAGAAATAAATATGTGAAATTGTATAAATTTAACACTATAATTTTCTAACGAATAAAATAGACACTTTAAATAAATCCAGACATTTAGGAGTTTACAAAAAACAAACAGTCTTATTAATTCATATTTCGGACTTCACCACCACCTCTTATTAATCAAAAGTGAAATAAGACTTCAGAATTCAGCACTTCTTAAAAAAACAAATGTTACCTTAGTCTAATTAATATGTGAATCAGTAAATATCTTGTTTTCCAATATAAAACATTGATCATAATAAATGAATTCTAATAATCTTCTATAAATATTCAAATCATAACAAATAAATTCTCATCATTTCTTTTAATAAAAATTCAATAATTAGTTTGTATGATTTGTACTGACGTCTGAGTTTGTAAAATATATATCTACTATGTATATATATATATATATGTGTGTGTGTGTGTGAGAGAGAGAGAGAGAGAGAGAGAGAGAGAGTATTCAAGGAATTTGGGAAACATGCAAAGTCACGCAATGTTCCATGCTTAACCCATTCGCCAAAACGTGTACTTAACTATCACTTGTGCCACCATTCATGCTTAACTCTCCTACCCCTAAATACCCGACTCTTTCCACCTTTTTTATTACATTTTTTTTTATTAAAAATATAAAACATTTAATATTTTAAACATCTATACTATATTATAAAGTATTTGATAAAAACTCTTAAAAACAATTTTTTATGCATGAAATACTGTTTATTGATGTATATTACTTAAAATTCAAGATTAGAAGTAAACTGTGCGTAAGTACAACTTATTAAAGCTACATGTTTGAATTAGTGTAACTAACTGCAGATAAACATAATCGAGAGGATAAACATCTCATTTCAAATATAAAAAATTTAAAATATAATTAGGATAATTATTGAATTTTAACAAAATATTTAATTATCATCTTTATAACAAATATATTATTAAATAACAAATTAGAAAATGAATTAAAGAAATACATAAAAAAAAAAGTTTTAAATAGTTAGTTTGGTGCTAATATCAATTTCTTTTTTCAATTATTTACGATATCTTCATATTTATATCTTATTCAAAAATAAAAACATTATCGTTTTCTCAAAATCATATAAAATCGTCTTATAGACTGAGAAAAAAAAACGAAACATTAAAATCGAGATAGATCTTACTGTATTGTGCGAATACCTTTCTAGTCTTTTCAAACACATTTTCTGTTTATTAATCATTACAGTCTTAAACCAATTATATACTTCAATCATTTTTCTTGAAAGACTCTTTTACAGAGTAATTAAATAAGAGGTTTCACATACTTTCACATGGTATCAGAGCCAATTGTTTACAACCGTAAGCATTCGACACTGTGGGGGCAATCTACTCGTCCAGCCCCCTCTCAACACTCATGGACAACATCATATGTCCGTTTAGCCTCTGATTAAAGGGCATGTTAGAGTCGTATGAAATTATAAATAAGGAATATAATTAATTATTAAAATAAAATTGTGCGGAAATAGAAAGAAAACAAAAATGATTCTGAATGGTTTAAAACCTACGCTACTATTTGCTTCTATTACCTCAGCAATATCGAGTGGGAATTAAAAGGTTACCAAATTGAAAAATTACTTTTTATTTTTGTTTTTGAGTTTTCATAAATATTAAATACACAATCAGTATTATAAATAAATACAACCACAAAGATGGTGTTTGATTGATTTGGGTTTGAGCTCTACAACTCAAAAGTGTCTAGAGATCCCAGATTCAAATTCAAGGAGAAATAAGAATCCCCTTGTAGCCACGGAAGTTCAAATGTGATGACTCCGGACTATTCATAAAACAGGTGATCGTTCTAAGATTAGTCGGCTCACATAATGGGTTAGATATCCAAGTTAATTAAAAAAAAATACATAAAAATAAGTAATTATATTAATTGTTATAAATAACATTAAAACCACCGGAAATAAGAAACAAGTGGCTCACTGTTGACTTTTTTTGATATACAATATGCTTGACCATAAATCTTCCTGTTTTTTTTTTTTCAGTAAAAAGTTGGTTGTTAGGACGGTAAAATAAATGGGAATCGTAAAATAGAAGGGTATAAACATGTGAAAATTGATATAATAATAATTTTTTATCAGAAAAATATGATTTAAGGTATTGTTTTATAAATGTTCATATATGTTTATTTTTTTGGTTCACATGAGATCAACATGTTTTTGCTGTGAAGGTTTGAGTTTTTTTTTTTACTTTCACAACGATTTGTTGTGAAATTTCAAATGTAAAAAAGTAGTCTCATGAATCTCACGAAAACAAGTTGGTCTCATGTGAAGAAAACCCTAGTTCACATAATAACAAAGTTTCGAACTATGAATAAAAATATGTGAAATTATCACCTTATGAAACATATATATATATATATATAACAATATCTTAAATTAATTTTTGATGGAAAAAAATCATATAAAAAGTATTTTTTTGGATCGGGTTTTATTAATATATAATTCTTTTTATGATTCTTATTTAATTTGCCCACTATTTTGACATAAAATTTACTAATTATCGATCAGTCAACTAAAATACTTGTTTAAGATAATATCATATTTGATTTTATGTAACAACTCTTCCTTACCACCTTCTAATATGCTTCATTTTCTTATTAATTCAATCCCATTAATATATATATATATATATATATATATATATTAATGGGATTGAATTAATAAGAAAATGAAGCATATTAGAAGGTGGTAAGGAAGAGTTGTTACATAGGTGGTGAGGGTGAGATGGCAAAAGCAGCTGTCATTGGAACCCCCCACCCCCACCCCCACCTCCACCTTATCATGTGGACTATCTCACTTTTTATTAATGATAATCAAGTTTAAGGCCTAATTTTTTATATTAATTATTTATTAGGTGCATCTATCTATAAACAACCTCCAACCTTCCTTAACTTTTACCTTCTATATAATTAGTTGGTGCTACTACCAAATTTTATATCAAAACCATAAATATTTTTTAAATATATTATTCATGATAAATAATCTAAATATTTATTAATATTATTTATCATGAATATTTGTCATAAATATCATACGTTTCATAAAAAATATAACGTGTTTTCATTATCAATGAATTTTGTAATAAATATCACGATGTTTATAATGTATAATTAGTTTTCAAATAATGGTATAATATGTTATTCAATTTAATCGAAATAGTAAGAAATTATCATACAGGAAACTATATATTTAACCTAAAAACCAAATTTAAATTTTTTTACACCCTTAATATGCCCCAATCACCTAAATTTATGGATCCATCACGGCTCATTTGAAATATATTAGTTGATAATGTAATGATATTTGATGGATAAATATTGTATTTTTAATACACACACAAATGGAAGATAAATCAAATTCAAACCATGGAAAAGTTATAAATCATACAGACTAATCTCAATAATCTATTTAGTTAAACGATAATCATAATTAATGAACTCTAATCATTTTTAATATATATTACTATCATAATAAATATGTTAAATGATTAGTTTTTGCAGTTTGTAACATTTTCATGGTTTGTATTTGATTTGTATTCTAATTCTATTATACATATAAATGTAATGATATTTGATTATTACATATTGTATTTTTAATATATATATATACATGGATGGAGTTGGATAGAAATGGGAAAGGCATGCAGTTAGCCAACTCATCTTTGTTTTCCAACCATTTATTGATACAGACTGCAATGCATCACCACTCACTCACTCACTCACTCCATGTGTGTGTAAGTACCACAATCCATGTGTTTCTTTCCCTTTTTTTCATATTATTATTATTATTATTATTATTATTTTATTCCACACTCAAATAATACCTTCGCTACCTCAAACACACTACTACTACTTGCTACCAAAGGGAATATGTATAATATGATCAAAAACAAACGTAAACCACATCTTTCGGTTGTGGTCATATATATGATCGATCGATCGATGGTGGTAGCCGAACCCTACTACTCATCATTCTATTCTCATGTGTCATTCATTACAAGTACTATATGTTACACATGATATACGTTTTACCTTGTACGCCAAGAAAAACAAAGAAGACATTGCCAAGATGTCTAAAAAGAAAACAGAAAAAATACAACGTATACAGATTTTTTTTTCTGTATGTTAAAGACTTTCTTATTTAAAACTGTACTAAAAATAAAATTGCAAAAGAATATGAGTTTTTGTTTTTTATTTATTTATTATTATTATTATCATATTCGTTTTTAGGGAGATGGAAAACGGAAAATGAAGGAAAAGGAAGATGCCCATGTATTACTCACACTATCACTCACTTTTCGTGAATGAAAGGCAACCCATGATATGCATCATCATATCACCTGTTCAACACTAACCACTTACTCAAAGTATTCCACACTCACTCCCACTTCACACTACTTGAATATAACTCCAATTAAACTTTCTAAATTACTAATCAATCTTTGATTCATATGTGCATATACAAATATAATCAATCAAGAGTTCATAATTGTATTCAATAATTGTTGCTATAATTAATTAATTTGTTCATCCATCGCTATATATGTATTGGTGGTTAATAGTTCAACAATTAATCAAATATAATCATATACATATATTAATAAAACATATTATAATCACATATGAATTCATGTGAAGTAATACATGAAATGAAAGTAGTATACAATGATTCAACTTCAAAACTCAAGAAAAAAAATGATATTGAAGCTTAAACGAAGAAGATCACATACTTATGCTATTTTTTTGGAATTTGAATGATCGAATTCAAAATTTGGGAAAGGAAAAAAAATCTCTTACTGTAGGATTAATTTACCTTGAATTGAATTGAAGTTTTGAGAATTTGAAAGGAATTTAAGGCATGGTAATTAGATAAGAAGAATCAGTTTTAATTTATTAATTAATTGTCAATGAATAATAATAACAATTGAAAATGTAATATTTCACATTAATCTCGATATGAGTAGGCAATTTTGATGTGGACCTTCTTTTTTTGTTTCTTCTTTCTTGCTTTCAGTAATGGCAATCTACCAAAGCTGGAGCAGAGAAGACTAGATGTTGTTGTGATGATTTGGATGTGAACTGAAATTTCGATTGGACGTCGTCGACGACATCCGGTGGAGGAAGGTTAAGATCCAATGATAACATACTACTACTACCTCCCGGAGACTTTTCAATGATGTGATCAGTGGTGCTGTCGTCGGTTTGCATCGAGATTCCAACTCGGTTGATCGATGGAGGGGTTGGTCGGTGTTTTCTCATGTGTCCGCCGAGAGCTTGGCCGGATAAGAACTCCGATCCGCATATTGAACATTCATGAACTTTTCCTTTGGTGTTGTTATGAATAATTCCTGTTTGAATGAAACCTGATGACGGTGAAGGAGATTTCTGAACGTTATTACTGATGATCATACTGGCCTTGTTTTCTTCGTCTTCTACAACGACTTTGTGTTGATCTTCTTCAGAATATTCCATTAATGGCGGTGGAATATTAACCGAACCAGATTTCTTCTCTTCAACGTTAAGCTTCGGCTTCTTGTGACTGGCTCTGTGTCCGCCTAAAGCTTGAAACGACGGAAACGTACGGTTGCACGTTTTGCACTCATAGACATAGAAACCTGTTTTTCCACCGACTGTGGTAGTCGTCATCTCCGTGAACCTCCGACTGCTCAACTTCTCCGTCTTCTGACGAATTTGATCGGATTTTTCCTCCTTGACCGGAGAAACACTTTGAGCCAACATAATCAAACAATTCGCCATGTCTTGATCTTCCTCCGTTGACATCTCAGATGACATGACCGGCGAGTGATCAGCCTCAGGTGTGTAATTATCAATCAAACAGTCACCGTCTGCATTACTGTTGCCGGAGGTACTGGATGACATTCCAAAAGGGGAACAAGGCCTTTGGCGTTTGGTACGCTTTCCTCTGATGATTTGGCGGGCTCGATCACGACTCATACCTTGAGTGAATTCTGCCATGAACTCCATTTCCATGGCCAAATTAAGAGTGTGTGTGTGTGTGTGTGAAAGAGAGAGAGAGAGAGAGAGAGAGAGAGAGAGGTGGTAAAGGGAGGAGGGGGTGTTAGTTCAGTATATATACATAGTGAAAGGGTTAAAAATGTGAATAGTTGTGGATAGGAAGAGAAGGTGGTAAAGTGTAACTTTTTCTTGAACTAGTTTGTTGCCAACGATCTTTCTTTGCGTTTCCCCTCCCTTCTGAAAAATGTTAATAGTTGTGCTTCTCACGCGCTTTAAATGTTCCTCGCGTGCTCTTCCTCCCATCTTTTCTTTTACCTTTTTCTATTTCCCTTCTCATTTCACCTTATTATTACAACCCAAATTGATATACACTTCGGGACTGTTTGACAATTACTGAACAATTTGATTCAGAATGATTAAGTGGTTATAAAGATTAAAAGACTTTCATGATATAATGCAGAATGAAATATAATTGTTTGGTAATTGTGTACAATGAAATTATGGCTCTTAATGGTTAAGAGAGATCTAATATACAAAATCATTAAGAGAATTTTAGAACCATTAAGAGACATATTTTTTTTGTCAAACAAGATTCATCTCTTAACGATTCAGAAGTTGTCTCTTAATAGAACTATTAAGAGATAAACAAACAACCCATCTATCTTTCTCATTCTCATCAAATTCATTTTTAATTTTCTTTTAATTAAATTTTTATGCTTTATGTATTTACGCTATTTTCAGATTTAAAAAAAAATCTTTAAGCAATTTGTTTATTTGTGTAATTTGCCTAAGAATTCTCATTTTTATAAAAATAATTCTTTTATTAATTTAAAAATAAGTTTTATGCAAACACATAAGATATAAGTTATGGTTAAAATGAATAATTGATGCTAAAAATGACTAAAAAATGAATTAAGTTGAGGAGATTTAACTATTTTGATAAATTTCCATATATATATATATATATATATATATATATTCAATCATTTTAATTGTATTTTCAAAAATCTTGAACACGAATAAATACATTTATAAACCACAAGAATGGTGTCTGATTGGTCTAAGCTTGGCTCCAAATATCAAAAGTATCAGGAGGTCTCAAGTTTAAATCCAAGGGAGGAATAAAAATCCCCTTATGACCATGAAGGTTCAAATACGGTGACTTCGGGTTATCTATAAAGCATATGGTCGTCCTGGGATTAGTCGGCTCGCATAGTGGGTTGGATATCCAGGTTAATAAAAAAAAATACATTTATAATGATATATAGTGTATTAATAAAAACAATTAAATCATGTTCATAAAATCAAGTTTACAACATATATATTAATACGTTTGTACGTCTTTTAAAAGCTTCACATTTGAACTCTATAAAATAAATAAATGAAACATCTGAGTTCTACTAATACGTAAGAATACTGGATATATATAACAAATAGTCAATCTAAGACTCCTAGACTATATCACACAAAACCATAAAAAAAAATGAAAGTAGAGAATAAAACGAAACATAAATTGATAACCATTTATATTTAAATTTGTAACTTACTGTTATATACATATAATTTATTAAAACTAACTGATAAACATATATAAATAAAGAGTAAGTATCAGACCCTATTAATGTAACAAAATTCTTCATCAAATTGATAACCATTTATATTCAAACATAAATTTCATATTAATTAACGAGAAATTACATTAACCTTTGATTCTCGATTCATAATAAAATTTACATCTCGTTATATTAGACGTAATTTTTTGTGGTAATAGACAAGGTACAAAATGGTAATTTGATAAACGAAATTTAAATAAATAATTAAATAAATGAGAATGCACGTTAAAGGTATGCTACCCCTCATTCACTCCATGTCGTCTTCATATCAAAGGAAAGTACTTCCCTATTATTCTTCTTTGCTTTTTTATATATTTGAGTAAACTATATTACAATTTTGGTCCTCATGGTTTTGAAATCATAATTTTTGTCCTTATTGTTTTCAATCTATTATTGTTTTCGTCCTCAAAAGTAAATATATTAGAACCCTTTCATTAACATAGTCGTATTTTAATCTTTTTGATTTATTTTTCTTTTTTCTTTTATTAAATATATGTTTTGTTTTCTTTTACTATGTATTTTTTGATAAAAATAATTAATGGATAAAAAAATTATAATATTTTGTTATTGTTTATGATAAGAATAATTAAAATAAACCACAAGAGTGGTGCCTGATTGGTTTGAGCTTAAACTCCAAAGATCAAAAGTACCTGGAGGTCCCAAATTCAAATCCAAGGAGGAATAAAAATTCCCTTGTGGCCATGGAGTTTAAATACGACGACTCCGGACTACCCGCAAAACAGGTCGTTGTCATGGGATTAGTCGGCTCGCATAGCAAGTTCGGATATCCAGGTTAATTTAAAAAAAAATTAAAATATTTTTAATACAACTAGGGTTTTTATGTTTTTGGTCATTATAGTTTTATTTTATTATTAGTTCAAGTTCTGTCACTAACATCGTTCAAGTGCAAATTGTTGAGTATTATTTACATAAGAGTATTTTAATTCTTATCTGTATGTTATGTGTTTATTTTAAAATGGATCTCATATATTATAGAGTTGTTGGAATGTATATGTATGTTATGTGTTTATGTATGTATGTATTATGATGTTAGATAGAAGGTGGGAGGGGAGAGGAGCAGGGAGTAAGTGTGAAGTGGGGTGGGGTTAATGAGTTAGTTATGTTATGGGTGGTGTGGAGTGTGTCCAGCATTACAATTTATAATAATAATAATAAATAATAAATAATAAAAATAATAGATTTTACAGGTAACCTTGGTTGGGAAACTTGTGATTATATCCAGACTTTAAATTTATGATTATGTATTTAATTAAATTGGTGGAAATTCTAAAATCAATTAATTAAAAATATTTTATTAATTATGTTTTTATATAGTTGTCGAAAAAGCAAGGGAAGGGCAATGGTGTGTGCGGGTGCATGCATTGTGTGAGCTCACCCTATTTACTTACTTTTATTTATTCCTTGGAGATCACTTTCTTTTATGTCCAAATAATTAAACCCAAAAATAAGTGCAACCATAACACCTTTGCTTTTCCTACTTGCACATCTACCCATCACCCCACTCTCACAATCCCAGATATGTATATACCTGTTTCATAAATAAATAAATAAATTTAAATAATTTTTTTATTAACCTGAATATCCAACCCGTTATACGAGCCGACTAATCCCAAGACGACCATCTGCTTTGCAGATAGTCCGGAGTCACCGCATTTGAACATCTGTGGCCACAAGAGAATTTTTATTCCTTCTTGGATTTAAACTTGGGACCTCCTGTTACTTTTGACATTTGAAGTCAAGCTCAAACTAATCACGCACCACCCTTGTGGTTTAAATTTAAATTATGAAATATAATGGGTCATAGAATTTATTTATCAAATGTTAGTTATATTACTGGATGAGTATAATAAAGACTGAGAATCTTATTTGATAAAAAAAACATCTCTTATTCGGTTAGTGCTTATTGGATAAGAGAAATTTACCAACAATCTATTTAATGGCAGACAATATTACCCGATAAGGTAACTGAGAATGATGAGTATTACTGCTAATCACTTGGCTGATAAGCATTTGGTAAACGATCTTAAGTACCAATTTATGCAAGTTGAGATATGGGAATGTTATTGAATTACATTTTAATAACATTCTTAGAAAAAGAATGGAGGTTCCAACTGTATTAAAAATGATATGTTAAAGTCTAGCTGATATAGAACTACGAGTTCTGAAGACGCCCATTCAAGCAAAGACTGGAGTCTGGATACCGTAATCCTTAAAAGAGAATTGGGTACGTTCCAACATCTATTTAATGTGTTTATGTAAAAGTATTGGAGTAAAACAGTTTATTTAATATGAATTATGGTTTATGGATAGTCTACAAAGTTGTAACCTATAGAAGTCTAAAAGCGTATATAGCAATAAACTCTTCTTTATTCATAATAACAACATATTTTAAATATTGATGATTATTGACATTTTAATTGTTGTATTGTATCAAGATTTTTTATGGTCGAACCAGTTTTGATGTATTTGCTCCCTTAATACAAATATACAAAATTAAAGTATACTGACATATTGTTATTAACTTTCCGTTAAAAATTATAGGGAAATTGACTCAAATGACTATTTCCCTCATTTAAATTGGTCTGCTAATCATTTCTCTCCCGGATTTACATAAATGTCACTACTTTCGCAATATCCAGGTTCGCAATATTAGTTAGATCAGTAATATTAACTAAAAGACAAAAACAAATTCAAATGCAACAATTTATCGTCGCAATTGCGGACCTGGTTGTCGCTATTGGGACCCGGTCGTTGCAATTGCGGAACTGGCCATTACAATTGCAGATTTATGTTGGATTTTTTTTTTTTTTTTTTGCCTTTTAGCTGATATTTTTTTAAGACAATTGTGGTAGTTCATGTTGTATGATAGATATTTCTTTAAGACAAATTGCATGAAAATGATACATATTTTTTTCGGTTTCTAATTTGGGAACTTAGTTTTACTTATATATTACAGATTCATTTATCTCATTTTTTTTTGTTGACGTGTATCTTCTGATATAGATCAAGTATTTTCGATAATGCTAGTGGAGATAAACGGTAACAGGTAATTTTACCCGTTGACATGGTGTTTTTTTTAATCATTGTATCGTTTGGAATAGAAGATTGTTCAATATAAATTCAGCAGATTTCGTTGGAACACCCTTTTGTATATGTTTGTAAGTATTAGCACTTAGTGTACGTGGTGTTAAAAATATTCCCTTTTCATTTCAGATTTGTGGGGTGTGTATGTATATATATGTATATAATTCACAGATTTAAACAGGCAAATGACGACTTTACGAATATGTTATGACGAAGCTATTTGAATTGTGGCGCACTGACCAAGTCTCAGAGGTACGTAGTAGAAACCCCATCTTCTTGGGTTCAAATCTAGGGCTT